AGTAAAGGTATCCAATAGATACTAAAGTGACCCACGCTTTTCTTTATAGTTATTTAAATAGTAGTCTATAATTTATTACAAGCTTTTATTTAACTCACTTCCTCTGTCTGTCTGTCGTCAGTCTAGATAGAAACGCAGGAGTGAAAATTCGGACAGTTCTACTTGACCGATACGATTCACAGTTGGCACGTGGGTCAAGACATGAAGACAATGCAATCTGAATCTAAATTTGACTTAATTGGATGCTTAATTAATTTTTTATGAATTAATAAAAATTTGGACCGAATTAGTAGGCATGTCTAGCCAACAACACCACACGCGTCATCACCTTCAATAGCTGTGCCATCACGTAATGGCTGCGTTCAAAAACCATTGCGCGCCTACTGAACGTGATGTTCAGTAGGCGCGCAATGGTTTTTAGTCATGTAACTCTATTGTAAATAAAACATGTAAAGTAATGAAAAAAAATTCATAAAAAACGTTTCAATAACAAGCTTTTATGTAATGATGCACTAAAAAGTAGAAAATAAATTATAGACTACTATTTAAATAACTATAAAGAAAAGCGTGGGTGTCTTCCTTAACATTAGTAAAGGTCTCCAATAGATACTAAAGTGACCCACGCTTTTCTTTCTAGTTATTTAAATAGTAGTCTATAATTTATTTTCTACTTTTTAGTGCATCATTACATACAAGCTTGTTATTAAAACGTTTTTTATGAATTTTTTCTATATAAAGTACTAGTTTTCCGCACTAGTATACACATATTGTTCGCTGTTCATTTGGTGCGCATTTTTTTAAATTTGTTTTTTAAAAATTGTTTTAAAACATGTCTATATTCTGTGTTGCCATTCCCTCGTAGTGTTATATAGCAATATTCTAGAAAGTTTAGTGGAGATCATCTAGATTTATTTGAGATGTTTCAAACGCTGTTTGGCAATACAAAGATTACTGCGGCTTTGCTTTCAAGAGAAAACCGATTAGAACCATGTGAGGGTGTCTCTTATGTTTTAAGAGAAATAACAAGATTAAAACATTTGCAACACAGTATTATGGTTTTGGGACTGTGGTTCAAGGTCCACAATTACGGTTATGGGTTGGGTTTTGGGGTTTGGGCGTTAATTTTAGGGACTAGTGGTTATGGATAAGGGTTAGGGATTAGTTTTATAATTAATTTTGGTTAAGGAAAAAGTAAGGATTTCAATCATTTAGAAATAGTGCTCATTTCCTGGATAGCCTGTGAGAGGATGTAAGTATATATACGTCCGGCTCCTATATATATATATATATGTATATATATATATATATATATATATATATATATATATATATATATATATATATATATATATATATATATATATATATATATATATATATTTATATATATATATATATATATATATATATATATATATATATATATATATATATATATATATATATACAATAAGCAAAGTGTTTATTTATACGTACATTTAGTTTTTTTGTTTTACAAAACTAAATTAAATTATTTGATTGCGATGTGATTTTTTTACAAAATAAAAACAACTAAAAAGCTATAAATAGTGGAATTATAGAACTGGGAGTTTGGAATCACACCTTCATCTAAGTTTTCATGTTTTCAAAGATGTACTATCAATGTAGCCTCTAAATAGAAAAGCTTACCATCAATTGCAATGAAAACACAAAACGATAGGATCACTAGACAAGACGTGTTTGTCATCTTTCCCATTCTATCCACACGTTGCTTATAACTCGGTACGTGGCCAGCATCGATGACTGGTCAACTCCTGCGCTTGATATTTACTTTGGCGTGTTGGTTTAGCTGCATATACACACAGCTTGACGTGGCTCCGTGCTTCTTATTTGCAATCAGGATTTCTAGACTCAAGCCTTAGTGGTATTTCTTTGCTAAAGCATCAGTGGTATTTCTTTACTAAAGCATCAATGGTATTTCTTTACTAAAGCATCAATGGTATTTCTTTACTAAAGCATCAGTGGTATTTCTTTACTAAAGCATCAGTGGTATTTCTTTAGTAAAGCATCACTGGTATTTCTTTACTAAAGCATCAGTGGTATTTATTTACTAAAGTCGTAGTGGTATTTCTTTACTAAAGCATCAGTGGTATTTATTTACTAAAGTCGTAGTGGTATTTCTTTACTAAAGCACCAGTGGTATTTCTTTGCTAAAGCATCAATGGTATTTCTTTACTAAAGCATCAATGGTATTTCTTTACTAAAGCATCAGTGGTATTTATTTACTAAAGACTTAGTGGTATATTTTTACTAAGGCCTCTGTGGTATTTCGCCAATTTAAAAACCTATTCAACATCCAGTTGTTTAAATTATCAAAATGTATTTTTAAAATATTGTCAGCATGCATTTCGTCATTTTATACGTTCTCAACACCATTTACTCAATTGGTAAAATTCATCAACCTCAATGTATAGCGTAATACACAACTGGCATTTAGTTTGATGCACTTTTAATTTTTAGCGTGATACACTTTTAATTTTTAGCGTGATACACATATATTATTTAGCGTCACACCTCAACTTCATAAAATATTGTTTTATATCATTTGAAAATTCTGCAATTGTTGTCATCCTATGGCAACTTGGCAAACATCGGGACAATATTTTCATAGCATATAGGATTACATGTGTTTTAGATACGGTTACATATGTTTTAGATACGATTACATGTGTTTTAGATACGATTACATGTGTTTTAGATACGATTACATGTGTTTTAGATACGATTACATATGTTTTAGATACGATTACATATGTTTTAGATACGATTACATATGTTTTAGATACGATTACATGTGTTTTAGATACGATTACATGTGTTTTAGATACGATTACATGTGTTTTAGATACGATTACATGTGTTTTAGATACGATTACATGTGTTTTAGATACGATTACATGTGTTTTAGATACGATTACATGTGTTTTAGATACGATTACATATGTTTTAGATACGATTACATGTGTTTTAGTAAACTTTAGTTTCAGAATACGATAACATTTCTTTTATAAGATGATCAAGATATTTTTACAAGCTTTTATTTAACCCACTTCTTCTATCGTCAGTCGTCAGTCTGTCGTCAGTCGTCAGTCTGTCGTCAGTCTATCTAGATCGAAACGCCCGAGCGAAATTACAGGCACTTCTAACTGACAGATACAATTCGTTGTTGGTACGTGGGGTCAAAACATAAATAGACAATGCAACAAGATATTAAATTTGACTTAGTTGGTTGCCTAATTAATTTGTTATGAATTAATTAAAATTTTGTCCAAATTAGTAGGCTGTCTCATGAAACTATTCCGCGCTATTAGAAACACGTCATCACGTTAAATAGGTTCGCAATGGTTTTTTGTCATGCAACTCTAGTGTAAATAAAACATGTAAAGTAATTTAAAATTTTTATTTAAAAACGTTTTAATAACAAGCTTTTATGTAATAATGCACTAAAAAGGAGAAAATAAATTAAAGAGTACTATTTAAATAACTACAAAGAAAAGCGTTGGTCTCTTCCTAAATATTAGTAAAGGTATCTAATAGATACTAAAGTGAACCACGTTTTTCTTGATAGTTATTTAAATAGTAGTCTATAATTTATTTTCTCCATTTTAGTGCATTATTACATAAAAGCTTGTTATTACAACGGTTTTTTTTTTATGAAAAAAAAATTAATGCTTATGTGTATGTATGCGTGCGTGCGTTTGTAAGAGATGAGTGAAAATATGCCAAAAGAAAGGAGTTACTGTGCAGATAAACAAAACACAAAAGGAATAAGGTACACAAGCCTGCCATACGAACACAGGTTAGCCAAGCATACAAACACACACACACGTAAGCCAAACACACATATCCACACCATATCCATCAACCCGCACAGCTAATGCCTTACACAGGCGCCCTGAACTCATTTACATATACACAAACAAACGTCAGCGAGCATGAATTTTGCTGTGAATAAAAGTCAAACAGACCGTGCAGCCCATACCACGGCCTATCATAAAACCAAGGAGTGTCCAATGTCCAGCATAGAATCCAGGAATGTCCACACGGTTCGATGACAAGTGATCTCAGAACAAATGATCTCAGAACAAATGATCTCAGAACAAATGATCTCAGAACAAATGATCTCAGAACACATGACCTCACGGACAAATGATCTCTTGGACACATGACCTCACGGACACATGATCTCACGGACACATGATCTCACGGACACATGATCTCACGGACACATGATCCCACGGACACATGATCTCACGGACACATGATCTCACGGACACATGATCTCACGGACACACATTCAGTGTTTCTTCCAGGCATCTCTTCGGGTTAGGGCAGACCCCCCCCCTTCCCAAAGAAATCTGCCCCCCCCCCGAACGAGATGGAATATATATAGTAAACATATACTTTTACTATTGTCCGCTCACCCCCCCCCCCCCCCCGGAAAATGTAGACCGCCTCCCCAAAATAAAATATCAAGTGCTCCCCCCCCCCCTGAGAAAAAGAGTCTGGAAGAAACACTGCACACATTTTTGTAAGGAACGTCTGACACTAAGGATTCGGAAATGTGTGTAGGAGGGGGGGGGGAGTCCTGGTTGGTCGCTCCTACTAAAATTAATAACTAGATCAAACCGAAGTTGCACCTGGCATCTCAAGTTATTTGACTAGCAGCTCCAAATATCGCCCACCGACGCCCTAACCCCTGGTAACTGGGTGGTATCAAATGTGTATTTTACCTCACCATAGCTGAAGGTGATCCACTTACACGTCTGGGCGGTAATGCCGACAACCACTAAGATACAAGATACATAGTACCGTTATTGATTACTTATTTGTATACTAGTTCGAAAAACAAAACAAATGTTGTCTATCCGAAATAATAAAAACAAATTGTTTACTTAATTTAAAAAGGTAATAAATTACAGTACGCTAGTAAAGCTACGAATCAAAACTGGATGACGTGCGATTGAAGGTACAACCAGCAGAACGTATGGTATTTTAAGATATTCTACCTTGGTGAATCATTATTGGCCGCAATGGATAAATAAGGGCCGGTGATGTTGCGAAAGAGAGTCTTCCCCCCCCCCCCCCCACACTTTCCAAGCCATTTTTACAAAGAGCTAATACAAACCAATTTGTTAGAGATTTATTGAAATGATAAATTGAGAGGCAAACTTAATATAAATAAACATTTGATTGAAAATCGATAATTAATTTAAACGTTATAATTGTAAAAAAAAATGTCTTATATAGGGCCTATGTATCGAATACAAAATTTCATTAGGCATAGAAGATCATGAACCAAATTTGAAAAGCTACAATCGCGGCCAGAATATAATATTGGGTAGCTGCGCTGTCTGCTCGCCTACTTCTGTCACAGCTAGAAGCTAAAACTTGTAGGTCACAGCCAGCAACTAAAGCGGGCAGCTCACGGCTAACAGTTAGAGATTGATCAGGTAGCGGGTCCAAATAATGTTGGGTGCATCTGTCTCTCTGGTTTGTTGAAAGGTTGGCCTGACTGCCCCGATCAATGTGACTGTGTCCCGTTTGATTGACGTTCCCCTCAGGCCAAACATAATGTAGCTCCACCTTTCTTGGCTCGCCTTTCTCAAACCAGCAATCCCTCGCTTCTAATAGTGCATCAGCACAAAATGGATTGCCGCCATTCCTTTGATAACTTATATTCAGTTTGTCATCATTTGAGCGGTTCACCACTCCTTGCCCAGTTCTGAGGAGTGGATTTCCCTCTTGCCTGCCCACAAGTCCAAATGCTAGTGTGTCTAACTCCAACTTTAGATTCAGAATCGTTTTAGCCAGATCATGTTGGCAATCAATCAAGGCGGTTAACTCTTTGTTAAATCCCAACTTTCTGAGTTGTGCAGCATTTGCTTTTTGTTTTTGAATCTGCCATGTTTTCTGCTTGCTCTCAAATTGTTTTATCGTCCTGGTTTTACAAGTCTTGGATCTAATGGGTACTGGTATATTGCTTGGAACTGGTGTATTGCTTTGTACTGGTGTATTGTTGAGCAATGGCGAATTCTCGTGTCTCTCAGCTTGAAAATGGCTGACCTTATCTGGCTTGCTGGGAACATGTTGCACATGACTGGACTTTGAAGACTGAGTTGCCATCACGTGACTACATAGTTGCCGGGAGTAGCTAGACTCCATTGATTTATCACTGGATTTTGTCTGTGCTTTTTCTTGACTCCCTCTGACATAGCAGGCTCCAGACGTTGCCACATTAGTGTCTGTTGTTCGCTTCTCTGAACTTTGTTTCTTGTCCAGATCTTGTTGGCCGATTGCAATGCCTTTTGCGTAAAACGACTTTTTGCCAGAGCTAGAATGGACAAAAGATTTCGGATTGTACTTGGCAACATTTTTGTTAGACTCCTGGAGACTGTCATCTGAAAATTGAAAGATTAAAAATCTATTAACTAACTCTTCAGCGGTACATGGGTGAACTGACGAGGGTCGTACTTTAGAGGCGCAGCAATGGGGTTTTGGGGTGCTGACTGCACCGGGTGACACCAAAGTAAAAAATTGCAAAATTATATAGAAGGAAAAGCCCAGTTGAAAATGATTTAATTAAAGTTATGTAATTTTTAAATACAAATTAACGCTTCCAAGGCGCGTGTGTGTATTAATAAACAAGCATGAACTGTGTTTAATTATGATTATCAGCCAGAGATACGGCGTAACTCAGAGGATAAAAAGTTGTGTTGAGTATTTATAATAATAATATGGAAGGTGACACACACATTTTTAATTAGCCATAAAACAGTGTTATACCCATTTTTAAAACATTATAATATGTAAACAAATTTACGCCATTAGACAAAATGGGAGGAAGGCTAATAGCAAAGTGGGTTTTTTTTTTGTTTCTTGTTTTACATTATAATTAGTACCAAATACTCATTTTTTAATCCTCTTTAAAGTAATGCATTAATCAAAACACTTTTTCTGCTTTTGAAATAGCTTTTAGAGCCCACAAAAAACACACCTGTGAGGGGGGATGGGAAAGAAGAAACCCCCAGTTGTGAGGGTGGTTTTTTTTGGTTATATCAATGTGTCTATTCGTATATCGTAATATATACTAATACATACAGCCCGGGGATCGTACCGTCTTATTGTCCTCTTAAAAATCGTAGCCTGGCGCAGTTTAATGAAATCCAACACAAGTCCAATTCAAGATATTCTATGTTTATTTATTCACACAAATCATTCTCCTACTCCTACCCTAACTACATCCTACGTTCTACTATCTGCTACCTCTATCTAACTATTCCCTAACTCTACATATCTCCGACCGTTCTCTACCGCTACCTATCAACGACAGCTGACCCACGCTTCAGGGGTCATCTGACAGTCTCACGTGACCGGTCAGCTCCTGTATACTATTGGTCTACCTGACTACGCTTTACTCTGTTTCTGCTAACTTCTACCTGACATATAAGACGTAAACTTGCCTCATCATAACACCCTACAATCAGTTTGCACAGACAAATAATTGAAAAAAAAAACTAACTAGACCAGAGCCACACAGAAGCGACAGACAGCTAATTAACCACAGAATTTGCACACACCCCATTGATTTTCACAAAAGCGGCACACATCCAATCGACATACACAGCATGGACACACACCCAATCGACATACACGGCATGGACACACATCCAATCGACATACACGGCATGGACACACATCCAATCGACATACACGGCATGGACACACATCCAATCGACATACACGGCATGGACACACACTCAATCGACATACACAGCATGGACACACACCCAATCGACATACACGGCATGGACACACATCCAATCGACATACACGGCATGGACACACATCCAATCGACATACACGGCATGGACACACATCCAATCGACATACACGGCATGGACACACATCCAATCGACATACACGGCATGGACACACACTCAATCGACATACACAGCATGGACACACACCCAATCGACATACACAGCATGGACACACACTCAATCGACATACACAGCATGGACACACATCCAATCGACATACACAGCATGGACATAGACATTATTGACCCACACAGAATGGACACAGTCATTTTTTACCCCACGCAGACGCTTATAATATCAATCTATCTATCTAAATCTAAATACTACTAAAACTCAACTTTGTTTACATGTTTGAATATTTATTTGTTTGTCTGATTGGCTACTGGAGAGAATCTGCAATTTGTGTAGAGCTGTAAAATAGTATGTATGTAGAGAACAAGTTTTTGTTTTCAGACAGACTGTTAATCACAAATTTATTTAAAGCCGTTAATTAATTTATTGATTTATTCATTGGTAGATTAACCAAATTAATTATAAAAGTTTAAAAGAATGGATTTACTTTGACTGAATAGCGACGTCACGTTATTTGTTTACTTTTTACATCAACAATGGCGGCTCCCATAGAAGATTGTGTTCCCTTTTCCAATGTTTAATGCGTTCTAAAGCTAATTTTCTGTAACCATCGTCCGTTTGCTGTTTTTATAACGTTTCAACACTATTATCAATGTTTTAACAGTTCTTTTTATTTTATTATACAATACATTTCCCTAGATCTATAGATCAGCTGTTGAAGGAAGAAAAAGCTATGAATCTAGATCTAGATCTAGGTCACTAGACTTAACGTAAATTCTAGATCTAGACTTAATGTAAATTCTACATCTAGAATCAAGATCTAGAACCTATTTCATGCCCTAATTATTTATATAAATCTTTGTTTAGCGTCAATGATCATCTAATTCCGGAATGCATGGGATTTATCTATATTAATTCTAGATCTAGATCTAGAGTTACGGCAAAAACTAGAAATTAGACTCAACGTAAATTCTACATTGTAATAGATTGGAACACTGACGACAGAAACCATGCTGTTTGTATATAGAACTTTATTCAGCCTCAGCCACCATGATGGAAACACAGGAAGAGGAAGTGACGAGACAATAACATATATATTAACAAGGGACATCACTCAAAATGACATTATAAATATAATACTAATACAAGAAGAGTGAGTTCCCTTGACTTCACAATTCTCAATATATTACATCCCTTTACCCTTAGTAAACAACAACACATCTCTCAATAGAACAAATGATAGTATCCTAAAATCACCAAATATATTGCAACATGATCATTATGGTAGATTACACCCATACAAACAATGCACAATATGCTACAACATAATTAAGATACAAAACAATGATGTCAAAGTCCTTTTGACCTTTAAAATCATAGGTCTAACTTATTTGGGACTTTGATTGTCCTGTTTGACCCCCTTTTGATTTGGTGACTCAAGATTCTGACCATCAGGATTCTCTATCTCAGGAAGTCTAGGATCTAAATCATTAATTCCAGAATTTACATTTTCTGACTCCAGACTACTTGGTTCACTCATATCAACAGAACTTGGTTGTAGAACAAACTGAGTTGGTGTGAACTGTTCAGATTTGGTGGGATTGACAGATTTACACTTATTATCCGCACAAGTTATTTTTAACTGGTCTGCATGTCTACGGACAATAAGTCATTTGTTTTTACTTTATAAGACACAGGTCCTGTACATTGAACAATTTGACCTGGCATCCATTTTTCCTCGCTCCCATAATTTCTCAGATACACATTATCATTAACTCCAAATTCTCTTTCAATGGATGTTTTGTCATGATTTACTTTTGATTTCCAAATACCTAGAAGTTTCAGAAGTATTTGGCTTGTTAATTAATTTTACAGGTTTATCCTAGGATGTTTTTTCCTGATATAAAGGAACTATTTTTAAATTGGCATCTGAAAGTATTATGCTATTATTCAGATCCTTAACTGACACATCTCTTTGATTGATCAATTTTCTCAGGTAATCTGATAGTGCTTTTTGGTAACCAAAAATACTGTTTAAAAGTAATATCCTGGACCATATCAATTTGCAACTGTGATCCAGTATTTGAAGTGGGTGTATTAAATGGCAAAAATCTTTTTTTTTTCTTTTGATGTTACCCTTTTAGTTTCTGTAAGTGCTAATGATGTTAGCAAAGTTGTTTGATGATCACATTCCTTCTTATTTAATGTATTCTCTTTTAAAGCATTTGAAATTGCCATATCACCATAATCATTTATTAAGTTACAAATACTTTGTTTAGGCAACTCTGACTGATAATGGACTGCATCTTCTCCATCTTTTAGACTTAATTCCATTTTTCTTATTTTATATGGCCTTAAGTCATCATTCACAGACTCTTCAGGCCAAACCATTCTTACAGTACTCATATACTTTTATTAAGCACTCATCTTTTTGTGTTTCTCTTTTAACATCATTCACATTTATATTGGAGTTATCCATGATAGTGAAAAGAACAAATACATCTTCTGGTACATAACTAAGGCTTAGGTTTTTTAAAGGTAATCGACTAAGACTATCTGCACTATTCTCAGATCCAGGTTTGTATTTCAATTCATAATTGTATGCGGCTAGTGTGATAGCCCATCTTTGAATCCTTGGTGAGGCATGCACTGGCAGGGGTTTGTTTTCCCCAAATAAACCTAGCAATGGTTTATGATCTGTAAAGATGGTGAACTCCCTACCAAACAGTAACTTGTGAAATTTCTTAACACCAAAAATGATGCCTAAGCCTTCCCTATCTAACTGAGAATAATTTTTCTCAGCCTGGTTCAAAGATCTACTGGCAAAAGCAATGGGTCTGTCACCATTTTCATCTATAAGGGATAAGACTGCTCCTACACCATCTGGTGAAGCATCACATGTTAAGATAAGTCTTTTCCCTGGGTCATAGTGAGTTAGTAAGGTGTCAGAAGACAAAGCTTCTTTTGCTGCATTAAAAGCAGCATCTTGTTGTTTACCCCAGTGCCAAGTTGCATTTTTCTGCAGCAGCTTGTACAGTGGTGATAGTTTACCAGACAGATTCCCTATGAACTTCGCATAGTAATTTATCAAGCCCCAAAAAAGCTCTTAGTTGTTGGGTATTTTCAGGTTTGGGTGCTTCTTTAATGGCTTTTGTTTTCTCAGGTTGAGGTCTGAGACCTTGCTTGCTTAAAATATAACCAAGAAAACTAATATCCGTCAGCATGAATTGACATTTATCTTTGTTTATCTTTAAACCTTTTTCACCAACTATTTTCAAGACTTATCAAGTGTTTTAAGATGTTCAGTATCATTCTTACCAGTTATGTACACTTTGTCAAAGTAAACACAAACATTTGGAATATCCTTAAAAATACTGTCCATAACAGCTTGGAAAATTCCAGGGCCAGATGATATAACAAAACATAGTCTTTCATATTGGTAGAGTCCTTTATGAGTGTTTATTGTCGTATAGACTTTTGAATCTGGATGCAGTTCTAGTTGAGTG